CTTAAAAAAAACACATACCTAATGTACATAAGACAACTTACCTATATCCTGTGTATCAAGGTAAAATCTTTACAATGTAAAGTGTATATGAGTTTGTGTATGATGACGCCTTAAGGTTAAGCAGAATTGTTCTGAAAAAGATTTTCTCAGGTGTTAACTAACATCTTCACATTTCTGAGAGAAAAGGAAAGAATAAAACCCTGTTAATGTGTTATATATTGAATTGAAGGTTCTTAGTATTTGGTGGAAAGGATCTCCTGTTTTGAAAAATGGTAATGTTAATATTTACAAAAATCGTGATAATTTCTTCCTTTCTCCAGTCCCATCCGTATGTAATTTTCTCCCACAATCAATATAGGTTTCCTCACTCTTGACTTTTTGGATAATCCACCTAGGAGTTGGTAAACAGTTTTGGTTACCACACTGAACGTTATTTCCTTAATCAATCTTCTAATTATATCAGTAACAATGCTTTGCGACGTCATTTTCCATTGTGACGTTATATTTCATTGTGACGTCATAGTTCATTGTGACGTCATAGTTCATTAGTTCATTGTGACGTCATAGTTCATTGCAATTGTCGATCGGAAACAGAAATAATGTATTACCAAGAGAAACATATTGTTTTCTAGATATAATATCTGAACGCTGTGGGAGAAAAAAAGGTCCTCAAACTGTGATGGTTGGTTATCATTTTGATCTAACTCTCGTTATTCAATTTTAAAATTGCAATAGACATTTGGTAAACCTTGTGTCTTTATGTGAAAACTAATTTAACTCCAGTAAGACATGCTAACCAACCTTCACTTGTTGGGGAACCTCTATATTCTTGTCAACCCTGACCTGATAATATGACTAAGTGATATTAGTGGGTACAGTTAATATGTTTGTTTTGGTAGGGGTTGATCTGAGAGAGGGAAAGGGAGAAGCTGATAGCACACACAAGGGTGGTATGATCACCTCTAGTGTAAAAGGAAGAGTTTTCAAAATTTGTATCACATGGAAAATTTTGAGTAGCATGCTTCGGATTCAAACTCCATGTGCTTACATAGCTTTTTTATTTAACTATAATGGTGTAATTGTGTTGTTGACAGAATTCGAATAGAAACATATCAAGTTTAAAGTATTTTCAATGTTTATTTTCCTATTCAAAATCATTGGAAATAATAGATTTGTAACAGATTTTCAACAAGCGATCATATGTTGTCATTTTTGTTTTGTTTGAACTTTAATTATCAACAAGATATCAATGTTCTGTTTGATTTTTAGCTCACCTGGCAAGAAGTGCCTGTGAGCATATGCCATGAATCTGTCAATCCATCAAAATATAAGCTTACCCGAAACTTATTAATCTGAAGCATGGCATCCAGCACCAAATATTTCCTTCAACTTCAAAAAGACTATGAGGCGTAGAATAAAAATATTTTGCCTGAAGCTTCCTTGGGATGAAGAGCTGCATATGAAATTTGTTAAAGTAAATAACTTTGACCCAAATCTCAGACAATTAATGGGTAAATTGTTTTCAAATCTTCAAATGGTGTCTTCTCGAGAAACTCAAGGCCTTGAGTCATGATAAAGGTACCATGTAGCTTGCTGAGCTTATTGTTGAAAACATTATCTTGACCCACTCTTAAAAACACTTTGTTAGAGTTTCCAGGTGAGTAATACAGATTATGAGCCCATTTCCTTTCAAAGATAAGCATAAGGGATTCAAATTACAAACTGAAAATGATATACAAAGTGTAGGATTCATTTAAATGTAAGTATCTGATGAATTAATAATACTACCATAACTGCTGACAATAGCAATATGTACACCGGTTAGAATTTTGCATCGTTTTGAACGATCATGTGCCATGGACTGTCTTTTTATAATAGCTTCTCATATATATGAGAAATTATATACATTTTGTAGTGATATAGAAACCTGTCCAATATACCTGTTGTCTGTTATACATTGTAGTAGACTGTATATACAGCTGCTTTTGTTTATTAAAGTTATTATGTTAATGATCTGATTATCATGGCTGAATCACACTCAGGGTACCAGGGAATGACTGAAATAATAATCAGTTATAATGTAACACATTAAAATTGTTTCAGGTCCCTGAGTGCTGATCATTAATGTCTTTAAGTTCAAACATGATTAAATATTATATTTATTTGTTTATGGTGTTAAATGAGATAATATCCTTGTATACAGTATCAAATGAGGGGATATAATGTTGAAAACAGTATCAAAGGGAGATAACGTTTTTGTGCATGTATACAGCATTATAAAGGGATATAATAAACATGTTCACATCATTATCTGCATCCCCTGGAGTATGTCATGAAGAAATTGAAGGCTTTGTATATATACATGTAATAGAAAAGTAAACTAGTTTGATCCTTCGATGTACATTAAAAGAATTTTGCGGCAGCGTAACAATAAATAAATTGACCGACTTTGAAGTTTATTGTCGCTACACTGTAATCTGCAAAGGATTTATGAGCTGAGCAGTTGGTCAGTATTTTTTTACATGAAACCAATCAAATAGCTAACCATGTGCCTTCGATTTTGTCATGACACATTCCAGGGGTGTAGAGAATATGAAAGGGAAGAGTGTAACCCCTGGAATCAAAGGAGTATGTCATTGAATACAGTAATAAAGGGAGATAATAGCATATTATATACAGTACCAAAGTGAAATAAGATCCTTTAATACACTATATAAAATTAAGGGATATAATATTGAAAAAAAAAGAAAATAATGTCTTCGAACATGTAAACAGCACAAGGGAGATAATTTATCCTCAAGTAAATTGTATTAAAAGGAGATAGTATCGCTGTTTATAGTATCAAAGGGAGGCAGACTACCAGGTTACATTCTCCAGTGTAAACACCTTCCATATTTAAGTCAAGAGAGTTACATTATGACAATTGTTATTTCAATATAATTTATCAGTTTGTTATAAATTTACTATATACAAAAGTTGATACCATTATTTGAAAAGTTCATGTTTAAATCAACATGTGGGTTAGGGTAGTGATTGTAAAATTGACGAAGTGTAACTGTATTTGTTATACATGTAGTTGTTTAATCTCCAACTTCACAAAGTTTGGTAATTACCATCATTTGAGTGTTAATCTATAATGTAGAAAAAAAAAAAAAAATTGCAAACGAAAGTTGTATTTCTTATTTTACAACTAAGGGGAAGTAATCTGGTTTTGTCTTCTTGTCCATATAATTCAATGGTCATAATAATTATCTTTGTTTTGCTTAACAAAGTTATATTGTTTTGAACTGCTTGATGTGAGTTTTTTTTTTTTTATGTTTTATGCCACTTATATAATAATTTAAGAGATTTAAATAAAACATTTTTCGCTGTTAAGTGAAGCTTTTGTTGTGACATATTTATTCTTTGTTATTTATACCGGTCTAGTGAACATCAATATATTATATAATTTTGTTTTTTATTATTTAAGGAAGATTTTGTTTTACATTGTTTTACATTGTGAGTTTGTTATATTTTGCAATAAATTATAATTGCTATACTATGAAGAAATTGTTATTTTTGTAAAGAAAATGTTTTAAAAAATAAAGGTTCATTTCTTATTGATTAATTCAGATACATGTACCAGAAAATTATAACTAAAAGAAAGATAAACCACTATCTATGTAGCCTAGGAAAAAAAGGACTTAGGGCAGATGATACCACAATGAACAGGTAAAAGGATGAACAGATCCGTTACCTACAAAAGAATATCCTGTGTTAAGTTTAAGTGGCTAAATTAAAGTAAAAATCTGAAGAGAAAAGGCCTAACCCCTATCAAGCTGAATGAGCAGGTGTGGCAAAAAGCACCACAGCCACACGTGTTGTAATAAAGGATTTAGAAGTAGGGAAGAAAAGGAAAAGATACATGTATAGATCCAAACTGCTGTTATTGTTGTAGCAGATCGTCTTTACTGTCTTGATGTTCTGTGCATAAGGGTAGGGCCATCCAATGTATGGTGTGATGACTTCTACATAACAAAGAGTTCTAGGATAATGATGTTAACTTGGACCATGTTGAGATTCATGGCTATATATTATCAATTAACTTTTTTTTCAAATTGAATGATTTTGTTGGTTGGCTCAAGTTTCTTAAAAATAATGTCCTTGACTCATTTTCAACCTTACTTGGGTCATATCCATCAAAAAATATTTAATTAACATCTTCTCAATAATCTTGATATCTAATGATACATGTATCTGCCTGTTCATGCTGCACAATATTAAAAGTGTGATCAAAATTTTAATGATGAATTTGACCTTGACTCACTTATGAAATATTTGTATATCTTCTGATGAATAACCAAGAGACCTTTGACCATGATATTTGGCCTTTAGCATGCTATGATGAAATGAAAAAAGATGTCGTCAAATGACCTCGACCTATTTTTTAACGATTTTTGTCTCAATGACTTTGTTTGAATAAAAAACGAATTTACACAAGACTATAAATAAATTTTGAAATGTACTTTTTCAAAATTAAAGGAAGAAAACAATATTTCATAAAGTAAGCTGAAACCACGGAATTAGATTAGTCCGTGCTGAAACGCAGACTTTTTTTGATAAGTAACATTTACCTTTCATTGTCAATGTCATAAGCGTCAAATGATTTTTTAAGTTTTAAACAACTTGTAGTACTACTTGAGGACTTCAATATTTTGCTTTCGAGTTTGTTCAAATTAATTATTTATAGCAACTTTGAAAGGTGGCCTCAATAATACCACAGACTTAGATAATAATCTAATTCCGTGATAATACCTTACAATTTTAGGTCTCTAAAAAATATACAAATGCATCTAATGTTAATTCGCTTGCTATCATGTTTGTTTGAAAAAAAATGAATATTGACCGGCTTAACTTTGAAGATCACAGATGTGAGATGTGTTTTCAAAACAGGTGGTCATTCATTCAACCCCGTTGAGCCATTCCTAATCTCATATAGAGTTACTGCCCTTTGCTTGACTCTTCATTATGTGAAACGTGGAGGAAAGACGACAAGTTGCAGAAATGGTAAACAAACTATCAGTCGCACACTTTTCTTGTAAATTAGTACCATTTAGCTTACTTGATTATTGTAAAGCCTTTATGAAAGGCTTTTATAAGAATACATTCGGACTTCATTCTGCTAGCTGGTCGACGTACTGATTTAAGTGAATGTTCCTCAAGTTGCAAACCGTAATTTGAGTGACAGATCGGCCGGCCAGTTCGTCCTGAATCTGTTGGCTCCCAAAACTAAGCTATTTCTTTCTCAATGTTACACACATCTGTTGGATACAAGTGTTGATGTTTTAAACACTAGTCTTTTTATTATTATGCAATAAGCATTTGATCGGGGAAATAATCTTAACTGTTTGTCGAAATAACTAAACATCTAAAGAAAATATTGATGCCAAAGTGCCTGGCCTGGGTTACAAAAATTGTCACAATTTGAATGTCTTTAACTGAAGTAGGTCATAACTCTTTCGCAATTTGTAGTGGTACAGATGGTGTGAATATATATATATATAACATTATATGGGGCACTTTATGATGTGTATTTTTGGATCCATTAATATTCATGATGAGGAAATTGACAGATTTTATTAATAGGCTTAATAGGCCTATTTATCTTCCTTTAATTACTAAATACAGTCGAGTTTGTTGTTGTTCTTCTTTAGTGTATAAGGGCTCCATCAATATACTGATGATTATGCCTGTGGGAACCTTTGCAGAGACATGTGATAAAATTATAATTATAATTCCTACAGATTAATGTTCAGCTATTCATCAGTGTTTGAGTTTACACTGTAATCTTATCCATAAAACAAATACAAAAAAAAAAATATAATAAAAACATCCAGGAGGCCTTATATATATTAGAGTATATACAACTTGATATATCTCAACTATCAAAATTTACATATTACTTTTTGGTTATGTTTATTATGATGTTTGATAAGTGGTGGCACTAAGCATTGAACAAGTTTATGCCTGCTGTTACATGTAGTACAATTACAAACATCATTACCCGTTACTTTTGTAAACCATTTTTTCCCATTTTTTTATGATGAAGGCTTCATGCTTTTGTATTTCATCAACATGCATTTGTTTTCAGGACTACTCAAAGTTTCTGGATGACAACTTTGATGTCAAGGAATGGGTCAACACAGCCTTCAGTTCACAGAAGGACCCAGCAGTGAATAAAGATGTTGGTATTTCATATTCATACAAAGCTGGATCAATAGTTTTCAAAAGTATCCAAATATTCTGAAGCTTTATTTAACACCTGCTCCTGTCCAGTGCTCACATATATACTGCTTGACCTCCATGCAGTACTCACCATAGCACATATTATTTCATAAAATAGGAATGCTGATTAGTAAAACAAAAATGAGGGTTACAGAGACAAACATTTACACATGTACAGTTTCTGTAGTTTGTATTGAATAAAATATGAATTTCTATAATACATAATACATATAAACATGCATTTGTGAGATTTGGTACTTGGCAAAATTGGTCACACACCCATTTATTCAACCAAAAGAGTTATTTATGTTTTGTCTGTCAAATAGGACTGAATGACATCAACCCTAGGCTTGTATTGCAGTGCTTACAAGTAAAAGACATTTTTAGAGATATTAACATAAGAAAAACGTTATTTGTGGCTAGCTGCAAATCTAGTTTTAGATTCGCTACTTTTCAGGGAGTCACTGCAACTAAGCATTTTGATTAAATAAGCTTTATGCATGAAAAACACTTTGTGTGAACATTTAATAAGTTATAATACAAATGATTTCAGTTAAAAAAATACTGACAGCAAAAAATTAATAAAGAGGCTGAGGTTTACTGAATTTGTCGGTAATTATAATGGTACAGAGCAAATCTTAATCTAAGAAAAGATACACATGGTCTGTTAGAATAATAAATATGTTAGCTTCATTTTGTTGGTACATACATGTCCAGCATCTAGACACAATTATGACTTAGTGATACATTTTGAAGTATGTAACTAAATTTATTCTTATATTTCAGCAATATGCCACAACTTTGGTCATGAAACTGCAGATGTTTATTCAGGTGAGTAGGAAATTTTCCAAGATGATATAATATTATATGATCTAAACTTCATTTATTTTACAACAGTTATGAAACAAGTTATTTCATCTTATATTTATCACTCTTGTTTTGTGCGAATGTTAGCACAGGGTGGGGGGTTAATTTGTGAGAAAACAGGAGTACCCATGTCCCTCATACGTTTCCATTTCCAATTGGGCAATCAAATCCAGGACACCTTGATGAAAGGCAAGTGTCTCATACACTTGCCACCCATATTGTCTGGTATCTAAGATAGGAAAGCTAGAGTTTGTATAGTAATTTATTATAACTACTAGTGATGTGTTATGTTTTATTTTAAAGCATATGATTTCTAGGTTCAACTTAAAACAGTCTGTTCTATCTACATTATAACTTTTCTTCATACTTTGGTATTGTGACAGAACTGTCACAATGATATTGGCAGTTATGTCAAAAGAAGTATACTACAGAAAATGTTGTGGGGACGAGGACACATAGTGTTTAACACTTTCACCCCTATGTAACTTTAGTAGACTCTACCATGCATTGATATGGATGAGTCCATTATGGTCTACAGTGGTGAAGGGTTAATAATATCCATACAGTCCCAGTTCATTGTCATCACTCTTGCAGCTTTAATGGAGGGTAATCAAAATCAGGTATAAGATTACCACAGATGAATGTGTATCTGAAGTTACCGAGGTCAAAGTCACTGATAACATATATAGAAAATTCTCAAACAATGAAAATAATTTGACATTGCATTCTGTACATTTTATTCTTACTTACATTTTGAACTGATTATGATTGGAATAAACATAACAATACAATTAAAATTGCAGAAGAAGAGTTGCAATTAAAGATAATGAATATTTTTTTCAGGAGGTCAATAATGTAATAGAGGAGTCCAGTCAACAGGCAGTACAGAATCTCCCACGGTATGTAGTGCCATGGCAATATTTATGTAGAAATCCAACTGGTTGGTATCTGCTAAGGTGTGTACATGCACAGTGCCATGAAAACCGTCATATAGAAATAAAACTAGTAGGCCACATTTAATCACAGTGTTATGTGTAGTGCTATTTGTATTTGTTGCATTATTAAAACCCTGAACAATTTAAGATAACAGTTGTTAAGAAGCTGCTGAAAAAGTTGATACAAAAACAGAGTGTATGTCAGATACCTGTATATAGTTAACTACCAGAGATTAAGATACCTGTATATAGTTAACTACCAGAGATTAAGATACCTGTATATAGTTAACTACCAGAGATTAAGATTCATTAAAAAAATATTTGTCTCTAAGTGAGTTCACTGAAAAAATCAAATCGCTCGGGGCTATTCCAGAAAAAAATAAGGGGAGGCAGGGAGATACTTATTTATATCCCGCACTGCCCAACATGATATTTTGGTAGTTTAGACCACATATTANCCCCCCCCCAATAATATACAAATTATTTCTAGTAACCTTCATCTAAATGTGCCTTATATCACAGTGTCCAGCCAACTGAATTCTGACCGTTTACCATGTTTTATGAAGTCAACCAAAAATGATTCTGTATCAAATTGAAAAAATCAATAAAAGAATTCCTATTGATCCGGACTGCTCCCAGTGTGATATGAAATTATGACACAATCACATGTTTTCTTGACAATGACAGTGTCACTTTACTACGACAGTGGAGTTTGCAACTATTATAGGTGTATTGAGAGACGAGGCTAGTATACATATACGTACCAGTGTAATGAACAGGCTAATATTGAACCACTATTCCTCTTGGTCAAAGGGAGATAATACACCATCAGTCATACAAATTTAGGATGACAGCTTACTGTTAATGGTAAAATTGTATATGATATACCTATTTTAAAGGGACATGAGTTGAAGATATCAATTTATATGCTTACCTTTAACTTAAAAACTACAATAATTGTATTGCTTTGTTTCACTGATAGGGTCATGAGAGAGCTGGATGCGGTTAAGCAAGAATCGTCTCTGTTACAAGATCAGATGAAAATGGTCAAACAAGACATACAGAAGGTGAGTGTGTTATAGGTATGTAAGAACCAGTAACAGGATGTGCCTGGTAAGCTGTTGAAGAAAGTAGAATGCTTACTTAATAGGTAAACACATTAATTCATACTACAGTTATGAAGTCCATTCAATATTTAATATCATATAAGGATTAAAGATTTGTATAAATTTTTACAGGTGGAACAGGACACTTCCCAATCCATGCAGATGTTGCTCCAGCTTGACTCCATCAAGTCTCGTCTAACAGCTGCTGCTGAAGGTCTCCAGGTAAGCGCAGATATACCTATACCTACATCTACATATGTCCAGGTATACAATGTTACATAGATACTAGCACAGGTGAAAACAGGACCTTCCAAGAACATTATATAGTTACAGCAATGTATGATTAGAAGTCCATTACTTTAGATAAGGGCAACCTTTAAGCCCACCATGAAAATTATACTTTGTTTCTTGTCACAATATACATATTGTATTACCTGTATAAAGCTTGGCCATATCAGCACGGTGCTCCCAAGGCTACTGTGGCCATATCAGCACGATGCTCCCAAGGCTACTGTGGCCATATCAGCACGGTGCTCTCAATCCTACTGTGGCCATATCAGCACGGTGCTCCCAAGGCTACTGTGGTCATATCAGCACGGTGCTCCCAAGGCTACTGTGGCCATATCAGCAAGGTGCTCCAAAGGCTACTGTCGCCATATCAGCACGGTGATCCCAAGGCTACTGTGGCCATATCAGCACGGTGCTCTCAATCCTACTGTGGCCATATCAGCCCGGTGCTCCCAAGGCTACTGTGGTCATATCAGCACGGTGCTCCAAAGGCTACTGTGGCCATATCAGCACGGTGCTCCAAAGGCTACTGTGGCCATATCAGCACGGTGATCCCAAGGTTACTGTGGCCATATCAGCACGGTGTTCCCAAGGCTACTGTGGCCATATCAGCACGGTGCTCCAAAGGCTACTGTGGCCATATCAGCACGGTGATCCCAAGGTTACTGTGGCCATATCAGCACGGTGATCACAAGGCTACTGTGGCCATATCAGCACGGTGCTCTCAAGCCTACTGTGGCCATATCAGCACGGTGCTCCAAAGGCTACTGTGGCCATATCAGCAAGGTGCTCCAAAGGCTACTGTGGCCATATCAGCAATGTGCTCCCAAGGCTACTGTGGTCATATCAGCACGGTGCTCCAAAGGCTACTGTGGCCATATCAGCACGGTGCTCCAAAGGCTACTGTGGCCATATCAGCAATGTGCTCCCAAGGCTACTGTGGTCATATCAGCACGGTGCTCCCAAGGCTACTGTGGTCATATCAGCACGGTGCTCCAAAGGCTACTGTGGCCATATCAGCAAGGTGCTCCAAAGGCTACTGTGGCCATATCAGCACGGTGCTCCCAAGGCTACAGTGGCCATATCAGCACGATGCTCCCAAGGCTACTGTGGCCATATCAGCACGGGGCTCCCAAGGCTACTGTGGCCATATCAGCACGGTGATCCCAAGGTTACTGTGGCCATATCAGCACGGTGATCCCAAGGTTACTGTGGCCATATCAGCACGGTGATCACAAGGCTACTGTGGCCATATCAGCACGGTGCTCTCAAGGCTACTGTGACCATATCAGCACAGTGCTCCCAATGCTACTGTGGCCATATCAGCAAGGTGCTCCTAAGGCTACTGTGACCATATCAGCACGGTGATCCCAAGGCTACTGTGGCCATATCAGCACGGTGCTCCCAAGGCTACTGTGGCCATATCAGCACGGTGCGCCCAAGGCTACTGTGGCCATATCAGCACGGTGCTCCAAAGGCTACTGTGGCCATATCAGCACGGTGCTCCCAAGGCAACTGTGGCCATATCAGCACGGTGCTCTCAAGGCTACTGTGACCATATCAGCACGGTGCTCCCAAGGCTACTGTGGCCATATCAGCACGATGATCCCAAGGCTACTGTGGCCATATCAGCATGATGATCCCAAGGCTACTGTGGCCATATCAGCACGGTGATCCCAAGGCTACTGTGGCCATATCAGCACGGTG